TTGTATTTACATTAAACTGTGTGCTTTATTACCATGTTTAGTTGAGTTCGTCTATGTTCTGTGTCTCAAGTAGGTGGAATCTATTTTGGGTCACGAGACCAATACCTTCGACCATGACGAGTTGAAAATTACAGTAAATAAATTATAAAATTATGGTAACATACATAAAAAAATTTATATTCACTGACAAAAGTGAATACTTTCAGTTAACAATTTAAAAATATTATGAATAAAAATACTAGCTTTACATTTATAATATACTTACATCACTTTATATGTGAGATTTCAGTAATAAACAAAGGTAATTGCAGATTTTATAATATAATATTTTATAAATTGTATTATACACACACACATTGTAAAACACTGTAAAAAGGGATTTTTCAAAGTTGTAAAACAAGGATTATTGGAGTTTTACAAGAAAATACAGTTTCACAAATTTTTCTAAACATTTTTCAGAATATATATATATATAGCTATAACAAATGTATTTTTACAAGCTTGTATTATTTTAGCTTTTTTGTAAACATCCTTGTGATTAAACAGAATCATCATCCTGTGCAATAATACTGAAGTAAAATATGATCACACAGCTATTTGTAGCAATTCATTACTTAGAATGCTGTAGAAAAAAGAGGGAAATTTATGAAGCAAGTCAACACTGATAGACATAATTATGAGGGACCTATAAAAAGTCCTGTCATAAATGCATTTCTGTGAAGTGTTCAGAGCGCAGGTGGCATTTAAAAACTGGCAAATAAATGTTTTCGATTTGCTGTTTCTTATTACCTTTTACACCTGTACACCTCTCATTCAACTTTAAATGACAAACAACACTGAAGTAAACATTGAAGTATCAGGTTGATTCTGCATCGTCTAAACCTTATGAGAACTGATTAAAAACAATTCAAATGGACCCCAGAAAAAGCATGTCAGTCACATTTCTAAAAAGTGCAACTCTACTTCGTAATATAGGGATTTTGAGAAGCATTGAAAGAACCTGAAGGAAAAATAATTAGTTAATTCAGAAATGATTGTTATTAATTTAGCACATACAGCACTGAGACCACAAGTAAAGTCTCAGCTGAACAATAAGTTTTAAAAACGTTACCAAGAAACCAATTCTACTTACATCAGGGTATGATCTGTTGTAACTAATCCGTCCCTCTGTGCTTCAGTTTGATGGATACAGTGTTTGAATCACCTGAACTGAAGAGAATCCTAATGCTGCAGCGACTGAAAGTCTGTTTTTACTGATCACTCTCTAAACTGAGCTCTCTGGAGTGGGCAGCTGTTTTACTTCATGTAATATTCCTCTGTTGTGGTGCGCGTGAGGATGAGTTGGCCCTCTTTCTCCAAGGAATCCCCAGGTAACCCCCATCCCCCTCACCTTCACCTCTGTCTGGGTTGTGTTTTGGGTCTGAGACCCACATCTCTGAGATCAGGTTCTTTTGGTGAGTCAGACAGGGATCCCCAGGTAAGAAATCAGTGAATGATGAGAAATTACCCAAACTGAGAAAGTGACTCAAAGCTATATGGGGGGCCATGGAAACTGAGGGTGGACCGCCTGTCATAAACCGTCTCTCCGTTTGACTGGAGGTCTTCCTGAACACCCACCCGCCAGATATGAAAAACAGAATCTCCCTTTAAAGATGGGTCAACGCTTTTTTTTTTAATGTTGTTTTTGATTAAAAGTGTGAAAAAGAATGTGTTTTTCTTCATTTTCAAGTTTTTAGCAATGCAATTTCTAAAATCAGTACTGTATCATTAGGTCAGCTGATCACAAACATTGAAATATAAATTAGAAAAAGTTAATGAACTTTCTTATTTTTTTATAATGATGTACAAAAAAAGAAAGTAATTTTTTAAGTAATTATTATTGTTTTGTTTCACTTTTATGATATAATTGTATTATTATTATTATTTAGTCTATTTTTATTTATTTATATAGAATATAAATATCTTGGAAATTGTAATATTGCAAACTCATATTGTACCTATGTAAACAACAACAACAACGATGATAATAATAATAATAATAATAAAACTGAAAATATTAATAAATATATTATTTATTATAACAAAATTATTCGTTTTGTTGCAGTTTTATGCTGTAATTGTATTATTATTATTATTATTATTATTTAGTCTATTTTTATTTATTTATATAGAATATAAATATCTAGAAACTTTGTAATATTGCAAACTCATATTGTACCTGTGTAAACAACAACAACAACAACGATGATAATAATAATAATAATAATAATAATAAAACTGAAAATATTAAAGGGGTCATATGATGTTGCTAAAAAGAACATTATTTTGTGTATTTGGTGTAATGAAATGTGTTTATGCGGTTTAAGGTTCAAAAAACACATTATTTTCCACATACTGTACATTATTGTTTCTCCTCTATGCCCCACCTTTCTGAAACGCGTCGATTTTTACAAAGCTCATCAGTTTTAATAAATATATTATTTATTATAACAAAATTATTCGTTTTGTTGCAGTTTTATGATGTAATTGTATTATTATTATTATTATTATTATTATCATCATTATTATTATTTAGTCTATTTTTATTTATTTATATAGAATATAAATATCTAGAAACTTTGTAATATTGCAAACTCATATTGTACCTATGTAAACAACAACAATAATAATAAAATCGAAAATATTCATAAATACATTATTTATTATAAGAAAATTATTAGTTTTGTTGCAGTTTTATGATGTAATTGTATTATTATTATTTATTATTATTGTTATTAAATTATAATGTAATAATAAGTGTTGTTATTTATGAAACTGTTATTTAGTCAATAATAAGTTATGTTATTATTATTATTATTTAATAAAATAATATATAATTTAATGTATTTTTTAAATAACAGCAATAATTGTTTTGTTAAAGTTATTATTTTATATATGTATAAGTGTTATGATTTTTATTAGGCTATTATATTGTCTATTTTATTTTATTTTATTTATTTTATTTTATTTGTATACCTGACAGGTTCGTCAACAGATTTGTTTTTGTTGCTAATGTCGTAAACTCATATTTCCACTGTGTAACTACATGGTCTACGTGAATGTTACGTTAATTTCCAGGCGACGTAAATATAGGCTAAATGACGTCAGACCGCGTTGCGAAATATAGAAGAGAGGTGGCGCTGTTGCTTGTGATGTAACTGTGTGGGCAGCATCATTCTCACCCATTCTCACATTATTTGGAGACTCGCTGAACGCCTACAGAACATAGTTGGTCTGAAGCTTTCTTACAAAGCGATGAACATTTTTCCACTCTTCTTGGGAAACATTAGGCTATATTGTGACCCTGTCATGACGTCACGTGATACTGCAGACCTTTTCGAGTTTTCCCTCCTAGATATGATAGCACAAACACACTTTTCATGCAAAACATTTCACAAAACGAAGATTTAAAATCACAAACAGTCTCGAATGAAGACAACAAATGTTACTTTAGGAGAACTGAATTCATACCTCCACTAATCACCATGACACCCAGTTGGTTAAAATTAATTGCAAAAAATGGCTCATAAAGTGAGGTTAATTTCATGCATGTGTTATCCATGTGTAAATTATAGATGAGCATTTTTCATTCAGCATTTGTAACTTTACTGTATATCCTGACTACGATTTCGTAAGACGCGTTTGAGTGAATGAGAGTGAAAGAAACAGAAAATGTCTTTGAAAGTGAGCGTGTGTGAATATTCACACTTCATGTCTAGTTGTGCATAGGCTAAATAGATCTTAAAAACGTGAAAGAACAAATCGCGCGGACGCCATAAACAGAAACATTCCGTGCATATATGTAATAGCCTTTGTGTACCCTAACGTCACATTTTCAAAGCTGACTGAACGTTACAGGGCCAATGTCGCCCACCGAAGCTACATGTAGGCTACAGCCCCACTCAGAGCGCGTCACATGCGGTTTGACGCGCGATCAAAGAGCTGCTCTGCAGGTGCATGCAGACCCCCTTCAGGTGCACGCATGCTGCACCACTGCACTGACAATACGACAAGCCACTTACAAAACAACAATCACCTGTTTTATAGACCAAATCTTAAAAATGATCCACACTGATCCGGATGTTTTTCATTTTCTACATATAGCCTAATAATATTCGGACAGAATTCTACCTAATTTTCTACCAGATCATTTTGTGAGATGATGTCGATACCCTAACTTTATCCATATTTGACCTACCTAGTATACTTTTTTACAAACATTACCCCACCTTGATAACTATCTATCTATCTATCTATCTGTCTGTCTGTCTGTCTGTCTGTCTATCTATCTGTCTGTCTGTCTGTCTGTCTGTCTATCTATCTGTCTATCTGTCAGTCTGTATATCTGTCTATCTGTCTGTCTGTCTATCTGTCTGTCTATCTATCTGTCTGTCTGTCTGTCTGTCTGTCTATCTATCTGTCTGTCTGTCTGTCTGTCTGTCTGTATGTCTGTCTGTCTGTCTATCTCTGTCTGTCTGTCTGTCTGTCTTGTCTATCTATCTATCTATCTATCTATCTATGCGTCTGTTTTCTATGCATTTATACAGAAATTGTTTTTCAAATAGATCTATTCACAGGATTTTAACTAATTTAGGCAGAAAAGTAGAGAAATTATAAGAAATAAACCTTATCCTTACTCGATCTAAGTGGTATACTTTTATGTACACTAAAATTTGATTTGTATTTCTACATTTTGATGCCGCTTGTCCATCAAGCAGTCATTTAATTTTCTGTATTCATGTTTAATTTTTTTTTCCTGGACCATTTTTTATTTTCCATATTTTATAAAAGGTTTATGTATTTTAGTAGCAAAAAGTATACATTTCAACATTTAATCTCTTAAGTACAATTTCTCAGTTGAAAACCATGAAAATGAAAGTCAGGGTTTGGGAGGGGCAGACGGGGAGATTCTTTTTCATCCTTTTAGTTGTTTTGTTCCTGGTGTTATAGAAGAACTGAATGTCTGTGCTGAGAATTGAAAACATGAATCAAATATGCATTGGATTTTTTGTGATTTTGTCCCTCTTCAATGGTAAGTAGAACATTTTCTTGTATATAATATATTGCGGTTACGTTATAGGAAATGTTTTAGGAATGAGTGTGTGAGATTGACAGATCGCTTGCGATCATTTGAACAGAGCAAATCAAATACAAGTCAAATAATGACTCAAATTTTGCCTAGAAGTTAATATTTGTAAAAAAAATTATATACAGCCAATTTACGGTCATTTTATTGTGGGTTTTATTTCTGTAAAATAATACTTTTTTAAAATTAAACTTTTAGCTATTTTTTAACATAGAAATGGAATGGAAGTTATGATACAGTACAGAAATTATATATATATATATATATATATATATATATATTCATATTGGTATGCTTAAATGTATGAAGGGCTAAGTTTCAGTGAATTCTATAGTAAAACAAGTTAATTCTATGTGAGTGCAGAAGAATTCTGTTCAGACTTGTATGACTTTTGAACAACCACATGAATAAAATAATTGTAGTTTTTTATTAAAATCTGTTCTAGATTATGTTGGTTCTCACATGGATTAAAGTCTTGTTTTACTTCATCTAAAACTTTTGCTTTGTCTATAGGGGACTTTGCAAATACCATCTACCGAAAAGGAGAGGAGGTACCAATCAATTGTGACCCCAAACCCGGCGTCATTACATTCTGGTTTCAAATAAACAGAAGTGGTGCAAAGTATCTGTTCACTGTTAAAAGCACAGATGTAAAGGGTAATGTTAATCAGACAAAATACAAAGTGAACAAAAGTGGTAAGGGTAGTTTGGCCATTCAGTCTTTCGATAAAAAGACAGACAGTGGTTTCTACACCTGCGCAGCCATGAACAACAATAAACTCATCTTTGGAGAGCTGACTGAAATTAATGGAGAACCAGGTGAGAAAATGCTTTTTTCTAAACATTATGATGAATTGAATTATTTTGCTTAGTGATCACATCTGCATTTGTCTGCAGACTCTTCAAAAGAGTCATGTAAAATATACTGCAAAAATATTCTTTATTCAGTTTTTTCCACAGTTTTTCATATATAACACACATAAAACAAGAAATTTAATTGAGAAGCAAAATTACATACAATAATAATTTGTTTTCATTAATCATTTAATGGGAATGTGTCTTGAATTAAGTTATTTTTTGTTACCTCATTGACAAATTGATTGGTTTTGTTGCGAGCATAGATTTCACAAAAACGAAAAGAGAAGAAAAACAGTAAGGTTTATGTTTAAAACAATGCTAATGGAGTACAGAGTTTAAACTTTAAGATATATTCTCTGAAAACAATCCTTAGTATATTACAATGTTTGATTCTCAAATTTATCTTGTTTTAAAGTTTAGACATTTTCACTGAAAATGTAAAAAAAAAAAAAAAAAAGAATATAGAGGATCATATTTGTGTCCATAATCCTTTTGCTTATATCTTTGTTATAGATCCAACAACACCACCTCCAAAAATTGCTCCATTATCAACGAAATTTGCTCCAACACCACCGATGGCTACGACAAAATCACAGTGTAAATGTTCAGAACAAGGTTTGTTTGACTATATATTTATATACATAGCATATATGTATACATCATCGGTATATATACTGTATATGTATGTGTGTATGTGTGTGTGTGTGTGTGTGTGTGTGTGGACGTGTTTATGTTCACAGTCAAGCCCAGCATTAACTGTGCGATTTGGATATTGTCATCTCTGGCCTCTGGTTGTGTTCTTCTCCTCATTCTGCTGATCATCACAATTTTTTATTGCAACCGTAAGTCACATCCACCTTTAAATCATGCATACTGCAATAGATAATGGTCATTTTTAACTGCACATTGTTTGAAAAATTGATAATGGACCAAATATGTTTTGGAACAAATAAGCAATTGCACACAATTACTCTTAGTTGAATTTATGTCTTGAACACAGTCAGTTAAATAAAATCCACAATTATATAGTGTCACAGGAATCATAAATGTGCAAATTCCATTTGCAATAGTAAGAAACAGTAGCTGTAAGATGTACCTGTAGCTGTAAAATTTCAATACTACACGATTATTTATTTCAGAACAATTAAACTATTCCTAAAGGCAAACACACAAGCAAATATGTGGACTGGTTTATAAGAATAAGCTATATATTACCTAGATTTTATACATTATATTATTAATAAGAGTGAAATACTAAACAAATGAAAAAGGGGTCTGGTCATTAACCGAGCCCCATGGGAGGACTCTAATTTAATTTTCCATTTAAATATTTCCATATATAATATGTGACACTTTTTAATCACGTTCCATTAAGATATTTTGTAAATTTCCTACCGTAAATATATCAAAACTTAATTTTTGATTAGTAATATGCATTGCTAAGAACGTCATTTGGATAACTTTAAAGGCGATTTTCTCAATATTTAGATTTTTTTGCACCCTGCTTTCAGATGATGTATACATCTCAATTTTGAAAAATTGACACTTAAGACTGGTTTTGTGGTCCAGGGTCACATATATGCATATATTTTAATCACCTATATGCATATATTTCCAATTTACTCTTATGTTCATAGAATCTGCTTTCATTACTTTTGGATTTATTAAGTTTTGGAAATCTTATTTTTTCTCAGTTTTGCTAAATATTTTATTTAAAAATGTAATTTATTTAAAAGAATGTATGAATGTCGCTAGTGTTTTATATATATATATATATTTTTTTTTTTTTTTTTTTTTTTTTTTAAAAAACAGACCCAGACCTGCTGGCCATGCAAAACTGCCCAACAACCAGTTCTAGCTCCAGTATAGACACAGGAAAGTCCAGTACTGGTTAATGATATCTTTGATTCAATTTCTTCTCACTAAGCAAATTTAAAAGCAGTTTCTTCCTTTATGATTATTCAGACTGTACAGCCTTAAATCTTAATCTTTTAATATTTCACACTGAACACGTTCAAAACATCACTATTTCTTTTCCAGTGAGTTTAGACGATTTTTAAAGTCATTATGTCTTTGTATCGGTTAGGGTTACATTTAATACTATGACAGCACTCAGACTGTTTTTTTTTTATTATTATTTTAATCTGTTCCTAGTAAAATGTTTTGGTGTTTGCTTCAATGTAGGCTAATTAAATGTTAATTTAATTAAATGATGATTTAAAGTGATCACAAAAGCATTTTAAGCTTTAAATTACATCATGTTCAGTGTCACATTGCATAACTGTAATCAGTTTAAAAGAGAAATCTGCCATCTGCTGGCTGTCAGTGATATGAAGAACCTCAGATCAGTCTCATAGATTGTGCTGAGATACTAAGTTTACAGAACGAATTGCATTCCTTTTGCTGTCTATTTCTACATTCATTTGTAACTAAAATTCAGTTGCAAATAAACAAAATATGAAGTAATCATACCATATACCCATATCAGTGATGTAAAGAATTTCAAATTAAGGTCTTGAATACTTGGAAGCCCGTTTCCGCCACTGAATTTAAAAAAAAAAAGGTAATTGCGACTTTTTATCTCACAATTCTGACTTTTTTTCACAGAATTGTGAGATATAAAGTCACAATTGCGAGATAAAAACTCGCAATTCTGACTTTTTTCCTCGCAATTGCGAGCTTATATCTCGCAATTCTGACTTTTTTTTCTCGCAATTCTGACTTTTTTCTCAGAATTGTGAGATATAAACTCGCAATTTCGAGTTATAAAGTCAGAATTGTGTGATATAAACTCGCAATTGCGAGTTAAAGTCCAATTTTGAGGGGGGAAAAAGACTGATATGTGCTCAGAATTGCGAGTTTATGTCTCACAATTCTGACATTATAACTCGCAATTTTGAGTTTATATCTCGCAGTTCTGACTTTATTTCTCAGAATTGCGACTTTATGTCTCGCAATTGCGAGTTTATATCATCTTAGCACTTGATTATTATTGTATAATAAACCTGGCATTGTGACTGACTTTGGAGTCATTTGTTCCTCTTTTGTAAGTCGTTTTGGATAAAAGCTTCTTCTAAATGCATATGTAACCTAAATGTATAATAATAATAATAATAATAATAGCTATTATTATTATTATTATTATTATACATTTAGGTTACATATGCATTTAGAAGAAGCTTTTATCCAGCACGACTTACAAAAGAGGAACAAATGACTCCAAAGTCAGTCACAATGCCAGGTTTATTATACAATAATAATCAAGTGCTAAGATTATCACAAAGATTTTGATGCACATCTTTCTTATTAAATCGTTGTATTCCACCTCGTACCGTTACAATTGATAGAGAATCACTTAAGACTATTTGCTGTAGGCCTATTTCACATAATAATATGCAATAAAACAATATACAATATGATTCGTTAACACGTAGGCTACCTAGGAGCTTACTGCATGAATCCGTGAGTACAGGTTACAAACCCGAGGGAACGGATTGCGAAAGCATGCGCACGGATTATGAATTTGTGGGTACGGATTCAACATCCGAAGGTACGGTTTACAAAATCTGAGCGCATTTAAGAATTCGTGAGTACGGTTTATAAACCGAGGGGACGGATTGTTTTTTTTTTCTCCTACAGGTGACTTCCCGGGCTCCGTAGAATTGTGAGATAAAAAGTCGCAATTACCTCTTTTATTTTTTATTCAGTGGCGGAAACGGGCTTCCATACTATGCACTAACATTTTGATTTGTAAATAACCCAAAGTTGGTTTGTGGCAGAGCACCACCATGTGGGCAATAGGAGTAATACGGAATTGTGTATGTTGTATGACTCAGAGGTTTGTAAACGCAAACAAGGTGCTCAAACAATGCAGACTGTCTTGTCACATCAGTAAATATGAACATATACAGCCATGTGCTTGTGTTTCAGCCGACAGGTCACTGAATGTGATTTGTACTGTAGTTTGAGTTTCTCTCTGCTGCCGTTCAGGAACTAAAGCTACTGCATAATATCTGAAAAATGTGAAAGTCTTATGATGTAGTGAAAGACCTAGAGATACTTCTAGCTCTCTGTGACCTGAAAATGAATGTTCAGCGTCCACATAATGCTCAGCAAAATACTGATTCTTACTTTTGGTTTGCTTTGGGAATCAGTTTGTCGGCCAGCTCGACCTGATCTTGTAAAGAAAGACAAATAACGAAATAAACACAGTACTTGTATTAGGACTTTAGAGTGGTATTTATTTGCTGTTTGTGGTATATTGTGATTAAGATTTTTTTCATCCTTTCAGTAGTTTTGTTCCTGTTCTTGTAGAGGAACCGATTGTCTGTGTGCTGACATTTGAATAAAATGCATCAAATATGCATTATATTTTGTACTAGGCTATTTTGTCCCTCATCTATGGTGAGTAACATTTTCTTGTTTATAGTATTATACTGCATGTACATTTATGGTAAATATGTAAGATATGAAAGTGTAAAGGACAGATCGTTTAGTCATATGAATAGACCAAATACAATGACTCAAAATTAGCTTAAAGTAGTTTTTTTTTATTTTTTTTTATGTAAAATAATCAAATTTAGCCTTAACATATATTAGCCTAATCCCAGCATATAAACGCCATGGAAATTATGATACAGCACATAAATGATTATTTATACTTGGATTATTGGTATGTTTAATTTTGATAGCTTGATCTCACAATACATAAAGATGGACTAATCAGTTCGAATGGTCTGAATTTACGTTTTAATAAATATTTTATGAACTAGGCCTACTATCATTCTCTGTAAACACACACCCAAAAAATAATATACCTGAGCCCCTATCATCATTACACCTTTATTTGAATAAAGATTTTAAGAACAGAACATTCCAAACTAACAAAACAAGTTGTTTTATATTTTAAGTAAAAATCCCTTCTTGAAAATACCGTCCTGTCAAAATTAGTACACAACATCTTAGAACGCTCTAGGATCTGAATCTGTTCAACATTTCATGACACTGTTGGGTTTAAAGGTCATATTTAGGATTCTATCATCAGCTATGAAAGCTATTAGAAGATTTTAAAGCATCAAACAGTGAGCCCTGATGATAAGCAAAACAGCAACGTTGTGGTTGCCCTTAAACAAGTGAATTAAAGTGAAAGATCCTGACTTTGCCCACCACATATAATGTAACACCTGTCAATTTACTAGTGGTTCTGAAAATACATTTAAAACCTTGAGCTTAAGCAAAAAAATTCTAATTTCACCTCCAAAATCAAGTGGAAAACATTTTAAGAGTGCAACATGTGCAACACAAGCTGTTCGATTATTTTCCAAGGCTTCTGTGATAAATGGGCACATGGGGCGTTTAGTGTTAGCAATATTACTTTACAGTTATTTTCGAGAGCATCCTTGTAAGTGCACTTCAGGAAACAAACTACAAAGAAAAACACCTCCCATATAAACCTTTTTTGACTAGTATCATTATACAGACATTCAACAGCATTCAAAAAGACATCATCACGGTCATCTACGGCAACGATGTAAACGATGAATTCATAACCTACGGCATCTCTGTACACTAGTGTCTCAATAGATCCTCAAACAGCAACAGACTGTCATCTCTGTGAACAGGAAAACTGTAGAGAGACCCCCAGTAAAGAGGGGGAAAAAAATTGTATATGGCATAATTTTTTTTTTTTTTACTGTGGAAAAAATATCACGACACACCAAAATAAATGACTGAAAAAACAGAACAATACATGCGCTTGATGTAAACATCCTTTCCGTATATACATGTTCTATCATTCACAAGGAGATAAAAGATTGTTATATTTATTGTTGCTTGGCTTTAGGAGACAAGAAGAGGAAGGGGGACTCTGAAAATACATGTTTAAGTGTCTGTGTGCAGTTATAATTTTTTTAGTTTCATTCCATGTCCACCATAAAATATATTTCTAGACTGAGAAGCTCCCTTTAATGGTTGCTTGTATTAGGGATGAGGAGACACACCATAAATCTGAAAAACAAATACATGGGTAAACATAATATTATATATATATACACACACACAGACACACACACACACACACACACACACACACACACACACACAAGTTGAATTTTCAGCATCATTACTGCAGTATTCAGTGTCACATGGTCCTTCAGAAATAATTCTAAAATGCTGATTTGCTGCTCAAGAAACATTTCTTATTATCAGTGTTGAAAACAGTTGTGCTGCTTAATAGTTTTTGGAAACTATGACACTTCCCACTTTTTTCCCCCAGAATTTCTTGATGAATAGAAACTTCAAAAGAACAACATTTAGTTGAAATACAAATCTATTGTAACATTATAAATGACTTTCTGATTAATTTCTTTAATACTGACCCTGAACCTTTACATGGTAGTATAAACATATAAAAAGAGGTTTGTACATATACTGACGTGTGATCTATCTGTTTCCGCTCTTTGTGGAAGATGAAGGCACCACATCTGAATACTGACCCTGAACCTTTACATGGTAGTATAAACATATAAAAACCTAAATTAAAATTCAAAGAGGTTTGTACATATACTGACGTGTGATCTATCTGTTTCCGCTCTTTGTGGAAGATGAAGGCACCACATCTGAGCTCAGTTTACCGGGCTGCTTCTCTGTGGCTGATGAATCTTCTACTGACTGTTTCTGGGACACAAAATCAGAATTTTAAGTATGCAAACCAAGTATACAATCATTTCATGCAAGCATGTGGTTGAGAATTAGGAAAGTTGCTTTTTGGCAGAGCACCACCATGTGGACACTAGGAGTAATAATGAATTCAGTATGCTGTAAATGCAAAGCGTTTGAGTAACAGACCAGCCACAGTGCTTAAACAACGCAAACTGTCCCCCAGGTTTTCAGCGAATAAGAACATACACAGCCATGTGTTTGTGCTTCAGCCGATGGAATGGTGACTGAATGGGATTTTTCGTTTGAGTTAGTGTTTCTCCATGCTGCCGTTTATGAGCCAAAGCTACAGTATAAGAACCAAATTCATGCATTTCATTTCGAAATACAACCTACCTTTGGTTTAGACTTAGGTTTTGCACCCTTTCCCTGTAATCAAGATAGAGACCCCAGATATAAACTGGTTTGAACCAGTATGAAGGGTCTGGGGGGAAAAACCTGCTGCTCTTTCAGAATCGGCATGCACACTTTTATCCTACTTTTCATTATCTCCTTTGTCTTTTTATTCAAATATTAGACTTCAAAAGAATAATATGAAAACAAATGTGAAAGTCAAATGTGGTTTTTACCTTTGGTTTGCTGTCTTTGGCTTTGGGGTCAGTCAGGTTGGGAATCACTTTTTCCGCCAGCTCGTCGAAAACTGGACCTGATGCCTGTAAACAAAGACAAATAAAAAAATATAACACAGAATTTGTGTAAAGAACTTAGAGGGATGTTACCTTGGCAGGTTTGTTTGTGGTACCTTAAATGTTGGCGGTTGTGGTTCAGGGGTGAAGCATTGGGCGTCAGGTGCTGAGGGCTT